CAAATGACATGTTCCCTGCTATCATAAAATTGAGACAGCACAGCTCCAACTCCATAAGCACTTGCATCTGTTTGGTCAAAAGTCAAAATTGGAGCAGAAATGAGAGCATTCTTAATTTCCTCAAAAACATTTTCGCAAGATTCTACTGTTCTATCGGTTAAGAGTAAGACCAGCTTTCTCTAACCTATCAAAAACATCCTGTAAAACCAGAATATGGTAAAATACGGTAAAAGCTTTTGTTTACTAGACTCCTCGAGTTCAACTTGCCAGTAGGCACTATTCTATATATCTAATAAACTAAGGTAACGAGCACCGCCCAATTTGTCTAGTATTGCAGAAGTATATGGAAGTGGATAGCTATCCCGAACAGTTCGCTAGTTCAGTCTGTGAAAGCCGACCACAAACCTAAATTCACCTTCCTTCTTTGGCACCAGTAACACAGGAGAAGAAAAAGGAGAGTTGGATAGCTCAATAATGTCCTCCGTTAACATTTTGTCAACTTCTTCGTCAATAATCTTTTGTTTGAATGGTGAAACCGGATAGTAACGTGGTTTAACGGGTTTACTATCGGTAATGATCTTATGTTTCACCATGGAAGTACGACCCAAACGATTCCCTATCTATCTATCCCTCTAAGTACGAAGAAACTAGCTCATCAGTCTAGTCTGTTGATCAAAAGTTAAATCCTCTGCACAATGGATATGGCTTAGCTCAGGTTTGGAAAAATCTTCCGACGAAAAGAACCACTCACCTCTGCGCATGTCAGAAACAATACCCATTTTAAACCAAAAGTCAATGCCTAACACTAATTCATGACGCAATTCAGGAACTACATAAAAATCTACAAAACGAATTACGTCACGTAACCCAATGTCAACATTAACTATACCTCAACAATAACATGAGGCATTGTTAGTGACTATGCAAAAAGCTTTCCTATTTGAGTCAATCCTAAAACTCAAATCCTTCAGTTTATTCCAACCTTTGCTGTGTACAAAAACCTTATTAGCCCCTGAATCTAACAACATATATTAACCTTCTAAAATGGACATTCACCTGGACGAACATGAGATAAACAATCAAGCACGGCCTTATTTTTTTCATCTAACTTACTGGTGGTCGTGTTGGCTAGAGGAGCAGAATAATGACCAAAATTTAACTCCTCTGACCGTTTCCCGACTTTGTTACCCTTATTCTTGGTACCTGTATTACTTTTGTTGTCATGGTTGCCGCTAAAATTTTTAGAAGTATTGCCATTACAATAATCGCGTCAAGTTTTTGTGGTAAAATTACTCTTGCCACAACCATAGCATTTTAAAACCCCTGATTTACAAAACCTCGCAAAATGATTCGGTTGACCACACTTAAAGGTGAGATATTTACTATTATTTTTGATGTTACTAGTACCTGGGATACTATTACGATTATTGATCTCAATTATGTTCAAAAATGAGTTTTTTTAACTTGCGTTTTGGGCTATAGTCAAGGTCAGGTTCTAGAGATAATCTACCCTTCTTTGGAGGTTTGAACTCCTCAACGCGCAACTTAGTTTGTTCTAAGCGCCTACAAAGTTCTATGAGTTCAAAACGTGTATCTATTTGACGTAAAGTTAAGCGTTCTTGGTAAAAAGACAAAATGTTGAAACGTAAAACCCTCAAACGCAAGGAATCTGACACTGGAGTAGGCATTCTGTCTAGAGATAATCTACCCTTCTTTGGAGGTTTGAACTCCTCAACGCGCAACTTAGTTTGTTCTAAGCGCCTACAAAGTTCTATGAGTTCAAAACGTGTATCTATTTGACGTAAAGTTAAGCGTTCTTGGTAAAAAGACAAAATGTTGAAACGTAAAACCCTCAAACACAAGGAATCTGACACTGGAGTAGGCATTCTGCCAAAAAGCTTCGACATAGCAGCAACATAAATGCCAACAGTCTTATCACTATTCTGGCTACGACTTAAAATTTGCTGCCATAATTTGTCACTTAAATAAGGAGGAACAAATTCTTCCTTCATCAAAAGAACTAAACTATCCTAATCACTAGTATTTTTTTAAATCAAGCGATAGTAATTAAGAGTATCACCCTCAAAAAGATCATGAGCACATCTTAAAAGTTCTTGTGTATTAACTCCCCTAGAAATAGAAAGTACCTCAACTTTTTGAAGAAAAGCTATAAAACTAAGCCCAAACCCGCAAAGTTTAAATCCCATTTCCAAACGGGACCTGGTTTAACGTTATGATGAAATGAATTAGCATTATATGGCTGAATTATACCAGTATTAAGTGGTGGTGTCGATGTGGCTGTTTGATGCATTAAATTGCTGGGTCAAAGTTTGGATCTAGAGTAGAGGTTCATCTACATGAGCTACAAAAGTTTTACAAAGATTGTCATATTCTACAGTTGAATTTGACAATTGTAGCAAAATTGCAGTTTTACATCCTTAGTTCCTCAACTGTTTGGAATTCTATTCTAGCAGTTAAATGAACGAATTTAGTTTCGATTTTGGGATCAGATTTGTCTGCTCAATAACTTTCTATCACATTCCGCCAATTCATTCTCTGGTTTCTCTATAGTAAATCTATATTCCCTACCAGCAGTTTTTTTCTAAAAGAATCAAGGATCTAAGACGTTTTCTTAATTCATCGACCGTACCTGATTCCGAGACGCCTCTAAAGTCAATCTCATATTCAAGTTCATCTTTTGTTAGACGCTCAATACTTAGTTTGAACATTTTGATAATCAAGGTAATACATCAATAGAAAAATACCCAAAATATGAAGTACACTATCTAAAAATTTGTTTAATTGCGCAAATACTCACAATTCTTAAACACTAACATGAATGAGATAAGATCAGTGCAAATGACTTTGTCAGAACTCAAAAATTTAAAACAAATAAACCATTTAGCCAGGTATACCAAAAAAAATATGTCTGAGTATCAAGTCAAATACAAAGTCTCCAGTTACCTCAGAAAACCAACAATCATCAATATCTAGTTCAAAACCAAAATGCACCAAAAATCAAAATAGCAGTGGGCGCCAGTGTTATCCCGTGAAAACTAGACTAAATGGTTTCCGGTAAATATTAAAATAAAAAGAAAATAAAAACCACCTATGCAGGTGCTTGGCTTTTACCGGTAGGCAACCGAGAGCAGGTAGTCCCAGATGTAGCCTGAAGGTAGAACCCGAAGGTATAACTCGGAAGGTAGAACCGGAAGGTAGAACCCTCGAACAATCAGGGTCAAATCAAAATGGAGAACTGCTCCTCACAGGCGTGAGCCCTACTTAAATTCGCCCCGGATTATCCCTGCAGACGGTTTCCCTCAGCTCGATGGTTGAGTGTAGTTATGTCCACAGCTAGATCCCCAAGAGAGTGACAAAAAGCCTCCGACAAAAAAAAACACCAAAAGGGGCCGATTTCTAATCAAAACCCCACCACCATAAATTACGAAAAACGAGGAGAATTCCAAGAAATCACCACCGCGCCCGCGTTGTGTGTAATTACTGTTAGCATGTATATGGCTTGTAATTCGACAGTGTACAGTGAATATAATTATTTCTTCTCTGTCTCATTTTTGAAATCCAGCAAATTTGCATATGTAATTTCCAGAATAAATGAGAAAAAGTAAATGCGCAACTTATTTCTATCTTTCAAGCTCAAGTAAGTGTATTTGAGACAAGAATCCAATGGAATTGTTATCAACACATACAACTTACAGCTTAGACCGTTTAGGCAAGACATACAACTAAGTGCTAAGTTAACATCTTGTAGAAAAACCTACATAATGTCAAAAAAATCGATACTTATAACGTCTAGTTTGTGCTGAACATATTTCTTTATTTACGAGGCCGTTGCGTGGGAAGTACAGAGTCAACCTACTTGACTCCCATTTTTTTAATATAAATGTTTAGGTATTGTTTATAGAACTAAACCTTTTTTAGAATAACGGAGATACACATACATTTGCCAGTATTTACAGTAAATATCAAATTTAACTGTTATACGGCGAATTTCTTTTTTTTCACAGAACTTGAAAAGTGTAATAATATTTTTGCATAAGCTTACAGAAATTATTTTAAAAAAGGTTTGCCTAATCACATGCGATATCCTCACAGATTTTACAGCTACGTTTTTTAAATACTTCTTTTGAGATTTGAGAGATATTGATTTACCTCTCTCATTCTGTTTCTAAAATTGTGTTAGATTTCTTACAATACTTATTTGATCATTACATGTATTCTTCATAATTATACTGAGTGACAAAAAAAGGTAAACACCTACCTATGTTTATCCGATTTTAATAATGTTTGGCATATATGTTTAATGTCCCTTACTAGTGAAATTTCAGCTTGATTCGTCAATTGACTGCAGAAGTTGGTTCAATAATATGTTGAGGATCCACGATTTCTTATACACTCATTGACACGCCTGAGCATCGTGCTGATAAGGTGGTGTATCCTGGTCCTGGTTCGAATACTACTGAATCTGTCTCTCAGAGCCCGAAGTCTTATCCGGCGGTCTTGTCGCTTTGTAGTCCCTCTGGGGCGTCCAGAATCCTTCGCTCGCTGTCCTCGGCCTTCCTGAGTCCACGCTCGTTCACACTGCAGTATACTGCGTAAGGATCTGTTGGTCCTTCTAGAAGACCGGCTTCACGGAACTCGATAATTCGCCCCCTCTCAAAGTCACTTAGCTGGGACACCTGGCAAATTCTACGAACTCTAGGCATTTTGAGCAATCACAAAAAGGCTTGTCAATAAGCTACACGAAATTTAACATTAACTGACCGTAAATGTACGAAAACTGAATGCTTCTTTATCACCAAACAATACACACAGCTACCACAAAAACCGGACCATTTTATCACTTGTTGTTCATGGCAAGATAAATCGATATGAGTTCTTAATTTCTTATAAATATAAGTAGGTATTTACCTTTATTGTCACTCAGTATAGATTAAAATTCGCTAAAATATCAAACACTGCTAATGTGTTTTTTCTAATAGCTGAACGAAAAGAACTCTCGACACGCCTGGAAGCGTTGGAAAGTATAGTCCGCATGTTGGAGCTCAAACACAAAAATTCTATGGAACACGCCAGTCGGCTTGAAGAACGGGAAGGAGAACTCAAAAAAGAATATGCCAAGCTTCATGAAAGGTGTGTAGATGTTTTACAGTAAAATAAATGCATTCAGTAATTAAAAAAAAACTTGATAAAATATGCAAGTATGTTTTATAAAAATTGTTTGTGCCTACAAAGATTATGAGAGGTTGAGAAATATAGGAAATTAGAATTAGGTTTTAAGAAATCCGGTATTTATTTATTTATTCATACATTCACGGGACAAGCCCAATTTCATTCAATTTAAATTAATAAGGTAACTAAATTTACTAAACATTAAGATAAGTTTAAAATTAATGTCCACATAAATAAAATTTAACACAGTCCAAGTATTAAGAATAAAGTACAATGCGATCATAAATAACATATATAAAAGGTTAGGTAACATTTTTTAAGGTGTGTTTCGGGGAATCATGGGATATATGAAAGATATCGCCATAAAATTTGTTTGCATTTTTCAACATATTATTTAGGGACGAGTGTTGACCGTATAGGGCGCGATATTGGGCAAGTTTGAATGACTTCTGGCCTCGTAGGGTCTTAGGAGGAACATTAAAATCTATCATGCCCAAGAGTGCGGGACCATTCATTAGTCGGTAATAATTTTATGACACAAAAGGGTGTCCAAATTTTCAGACTGTTGGGTGTTAGGTCAGATTTCATATCCCTATAGTTAATGCAGTGCTTGGGATGTTTATTTTAAGAGCTATGTATTTAATAAATATTCTCTGAATAGAATCAATTTATCAATGTGGACTTTATAGTAGGGTTTCCAGACACTAGTAGACCCTTCTAAATGAGATCTGACAAGAGCAGTTACTTAAGAATAGTGCTGTGAAACCATGAGGTCTAGGTCCCTTACTAATATCAAGTTTGCTAAGGGCAGTCATAATTTCAGATATGTTAAATATAAAGGTAGCAATGTTTAAAACTGACATACTAGGAGTGTCCTGTACCCGAGTTGGTGTGTCATCTGACATATACATATACAGATGAAAAATATCCAGTAAATGCATTTGCAATGTCTAGGCCAGTTGAGAGTGTTCTTTAAAATTCATAATTTGAAGTATATAATTTTAATTATTTTTATCTTTATATACGACCAACATTTCTTAACATCATTATGTATGCCAAATTCATTATTTTTTTATATATTCTAAATGACGCTTTTTAGTGAGGTCTTTACATAAGGAGCAAAGGTCACAGAATTCATTGTAATCCTCAATGGAGCCACTATACTTATCGATGGTCTAATTCTAATAGCCCGTAACTATGGATCGTAATTTTACAGGAGAGGGTTTTTTATTTTGTAAGGTGCGAAATATGATTCAAAAGGTTAGAAAAAAAATTATATTACATTTTCATAACTACATGATAAAATGTCTTTTTTTTCTAAATTTGTTTTTATTGAATTAAGTAAGATACGGTTTATTAGAACAAAAATAACTTAAAAATGTAACGGTATGGGATATTATAATAGGTAACATTTAACGCTAAACAAAACTGTAATTAACTTAGAGTAGAGTAAACGTACAATTGAATGGCGCGAACAGTAACATTATGGCGCGAAAAATTAAAATTTGAATTTTTTGCAGATACGGGGTATTAGAATTAGACCATCGTTATGCACTTCATTCTTTATAAAAATAAAATTTTTGACTTTAAATGAGAACCATTTTGGAAACCTAAAATCACCGCTGATTCATTTTTTAGGAAAAAATCTGTTTAGGCATTCATTAATAATAAAATCAAATGTTTCTACTGCTAAGTTAACCTCACACTTTAAAGCTGTATATATTCCAATTAACAGCAAGTAAAAAATTATTAATAGCTATGTAATCACAATTATTAAAATCAAAAGCTTGTTGTTCATATTTCAAAGGAACAAAGTCATCGAAAAGAGGCTGCTCAAAACTCAAAGCAGGATGGTGACCATCAGTAGGCTGTAAAATATCACAAGCAGCATGAACATGCATCACAGCTGCTAAAAACCAGATCCAAAAGTAGGTTGTTGACATTCGGGATATTATTGATTTAAGCCTACCCACAGTAAGAGATAGCCGATATTAAAATCTCACCAACCATAGAGGTATTTCATTCGCTACACTACAGTCAAAAGAGAGATCTGGTAAATTAAAATCACCCATCAAATGAATTGCAGTAAATGCTTCCATGAGTGTAACTGTCCCATAGCTTCACAGTAGCTCTCATACTCCGTGGCAGCACAGCTGGGAGGAAAGTCGCAGACATAAATTAACACGTTTTGTTTATTGAACCTAAGTGGTAACCAATGTTCTTCAAGGCCATAGGTTAAACCTTTGAACACCAACTCTCTTGCCTTGAAGGTATTTTTAATTTCGAACTCCACCTCTATTTTGCCTGTTACTGCTTGATCCCTATCCATTCTATATTTAATATAGTCACTCAAGCCCAGTTCTGCATTCGCAAAATCACAAGTCAACCACGTTTCAGTCAAAGCCACCACATTATAGTCGCACAGTAATACTGCTCGAGATAGCTGCGATAGTTTTGTTCTGAGACCCTTCACATTCTGATAGTAGATTCTGATATTTCTACGATAACTTCGTCCCCGATGTACATGACCAATTAGCGTTTCCGAACCTTCGAAAATCCGCACCCCTATTACCATTCTGAGGAAATCTTCAACTTTTCTTCTGACCAAATATAAAATGTTCACCGTTACATTTTCTGGCCAAATTTCGGAATTAGCAATACATTCACTTTGTACAGGTTTAATCGATATTTTGTATGAAGCAGTGTGATTATGCTTTAGTTGAAGCTTTTCACATATTATGACCCTAATTTTATTGGGTTGTAGTTGAGTGTTTACTTGTTCTTCAGTTTTTTCACCAGCAAGATTGCCATCATGGAACCATTTACACTCTTCCGCAGCTGACAGATTTCCTTTATGTCTACCAGTGCCCTTAATAACAGTATGAGTATTATTGCCAAGAGCAGAGCTTGTACTAGATTTGGTTATTGTCGGAGTAGATACAGTCTTCTGTCCAGAAGGTACAATAGAATTTGGCTTTTCAGTGTTCGATGCTAATACTTTCACAAGCTCAACATTTGTGGCCTTAATGGCATCAACAACCGAATCAAGTTTTTGTGCAATCTGCTTCGAATGGCTTTCGAAGTACTTATCGATAATACGAAAAATATTATCTCCACTGTTTGAGGATAACCTTGCTCTTGTGCTCACCCCTAAGCAGAAAGAACAGTGTTACAGTCGTCAGGTAAAGCATTCTTAGCTTTGTTTGATTTTATATTCCACCTATGTTGTCAGATACTGGGCTAATGCTTCAAATAGTATAAACTCAGTGACATTTGCAATCTTGCCCTCTATCGCTAGTTATTGCTCCTTATCTCTTAAAGTTTGATATTTCCAGGTATACTGAACTATTTAAAACCCACGTGGACTATATGGAAAGGACGAAATTGCTGCATTCAGGGCAGCAGCTGGCGAGCGAAAGGGCTGAAGCAGGAAGACTCAATTCTTTGAGGAACAACATTGGGCGGAGCTCGGGTCCAATCTCTTTTGGTTTTGCATCGCTAGAGAATGCTGAAAATGTGGATAGTGTTCCTTCGTCACCTATAAGCAGTACACATTCTTCTCCAAGGTATGTTTTTATGAAATTTCAGTTTCAGCTTTCGTTTTGGCTAAAACTGAAACTTCTTATTTGGTATAGGAGATTAGGTATTGTCTCTCCAATAAAAAGCAAGCTCTATTGAAATCAGCCTTTCTTTATTTTTAATGAACATAATATCTTTGTCCTAAGTCTCTAACCTTTGGTTATTATGCAATGGGGTGTCCCGATGTGCCACATATGAAAGAGAAAATTATAGACTATTTGAAAAAACTTGATGCACATATTATAAACAACACAAAAAAAATTCAAATAGAAATAAAATTATTTTGGACGAAAGCACATAAATTGTGGAATAAAATCTTATTTGACACTGAAAGTTCAAGCACTGTACATATTGACATCAGTAAGAAAATTGACTGATGAAGTGTCTCTAACTTACAGTCTGGTGCCGAAAAGAAAGATACTAGCAAAACTCCATGCAGCAGTAGGTATCGTGGTGGTCCTTTGAATTGACGAAGTCGGTGCACGGGTATCCCGCCGTATTCAAAGAGATGCCACGCTGCCAGACGAGTGCGATGTGATTCCTTTTCGGTATAGGGTAGTGAAACCTTATTTTAATTCGCCATGTATAACAACTAAAAAGTAACTGCCAGCAAGAAACCAAACATGGAAATTAAAGCAGAAAAGTATACCTACCACCTGCCAAACAATACTGCCAATAGACAGTTGAAATTAAAAGTCATTGACCAAAATTTGCTGTTATATTAGCACCTGAGTGTATATTAGCTTGACCGCTTCCGAAGGCGCCCGAATCGCCCGAATTCTTGAGAACGTAATTTTCTGATAAAACCATAGCCACCTATACCTAGTTACGTAAAAAGCGGTGGGCGAAATTATAACTCTGATTTTGAATACAGACTGACCAAAGTCGAATCCGAAAGCTCGTTCGAATACTAATGTTTTACGTCCCATACCATTTACATCACAAATATCGTGTTTGGATTACTTACAATGCCCCTGCTATTTAGACAAACCCCATTGTTTGTCGACGGTGATTTATAAATTCTGAATCACGTAGTCTATATATTTTTGCATACATTTATATATTTCATTGGATGCATTTTGTGGAAAATTTATCATCATATTTTCTCCCACAAGTTGTAGGTTGTAATAAGTATCATATATTAATTGATTCTTAGTTGACATTCTGACCATAGGTGTAAGACAATCCTAACAACTATAGCAAAATTATTTCTCCACTAATTTTGCCATAACGTGTATACGTTATGGAAATATTGTGACCAAATTCATTTTGCAGCTTACACAGTGAGTTGGATAACATGAACAGCAGTGGGGTGTTGAAGGTGGAAAGAGGACAAGCCACAGACTCTTTGAATCTCGAAAATAAGAGTGTTGTAACATCGCCCATGAGCCCTTCCGCTCCACAACAAAACAACAACAGCAGATTGAACACCAAGAAAGAACAGAGAAGTGGTAATACATTATACCAAGAACTTAGTTACCATGTGAGTGGTTGTTTCTATACAAGCGTTTTCTCAAGGAGCTCCACTTTTTTAAAATTAGTGTAATATATTTCTTTGTTTAAAGTTCTCAAATTTCTCTTTGACGTAAAAATGATAGTTCAAAATGCAAATTTCAAAAAGTTAGCTGAAAGCAGTTTTGGTGCATCACTAATTCTATTCTCAATTAGGGGATTGAATTGTTTTTTGATTAATATTTTTTTTTAAATGATTGCACAGCTTCATATTCACCTTTTCATAATTGCTGTAATAAGCGATTATTGTTCTAACAGTGGACTTTAGTTAGATAGATAGATATTTATTGAGCCAGAGAATGTACAATGATATTTTTGGTGAGTCAAGGATTTAAGACAATAAAAATAAATAATCCATTATAAAAACAGTTAAAATTCATACACAATGCATATGCATATAAATGACAAATTACACCAAGCTTGTCATCATATTAAAATTATAACACCAGTACAGTACACATGAATATAATTACAAACATGAGTAACATATTAAAAATATAAAAATTAAAAACTGGAAAGAATCTAGGTAACAGAAACTTTTCGGCAGCACATTTTAAAATCGTCAACATTATATGGCGCTATGTCTAGTAAAATTGATTTGACCTTCCTTTTGAAAAGCTCTAACCACGGACCGCTAACACTCTCAGGAAGTTTATTTTAATATTCAACTCAAGCCTTTTGGCTACTTTATTTCTATTTCTTTTAGGTACTATTTTGTTCTTCCCTCGTATATTGTAACCGTGAATATCGGATAGAGCGCAGTAATAACACAAGTTTTTTCTCACATGCATTAAATTCTGATATATGGGTGAATATCAGTTATTGGGGAATTCAATGTTCCTGCAAAAAAATCTTAATCCAATGGACAAATTGTGGAAATAGACCATCCAAATAGTGGAAGAGGTCAATCTTTAGTTGGAACATATGGCGAAATTGAGGTGACCATTAAGATTTAGGAAAAATCTGATTGAAAGTTAACAAAAGGTATACTCCCCTGGCATGTTCCATTCCCAAATTTCACTACAAACATCAACAAATCTCTGTATTATGTATGGTATAACAATAAGCGGATACACTTTGTATTACCTAATACATCTGATAACATATTTTCGCAAAAAGACACACTAAAAATATAGAAAAATGCGTAAAAAATCCCGTTAATTAGTGGTTCCTGAGAACAGTATCAACTATCGTAATTTGTAAAACGAAAGCCAGGGACGCGTCAGTAGCCCACTAACAGTCGTCCGATACCCTTTTGCCAGTGAGTGAAGCATTTCCCCTGGTAAGTATATCTTTGTGAATTTAAAAGTTACATTTTTGCGACTTTATAAAAAATTAAGATTTTTGAATACAAAAGCCATGAATCACGTTAAAATAATATAATAATCAACATATCTTGCTTTTTTGGGGCTTACGCACGTTTTTGTCACTTCCCTGGCGTCACTTCCCTGGCAGTTTTTATGTCAGGGGAAATACACACTGCCCAGGGGAAATACAAAGGCACCTTTTTCTATGAGATGTGTAGCTACTATACCAAATTCAACTTCAAGAGGAAGTAGATCTGAAATAGGTCAGGCATGAGGGGCCGGGCCAGTGCTCAAACGCTCATTGTCAGTGTTCATACCAATCTGTTACACCAATCAGCGGGCTGCACCTAAGAAGTTTCCTGGCTCAGTTTACCGTTCTGAGCGGCCTTCTTACTGCCTCTTGAAGTTGAATGTGGTATAGACACTATTTCATTAATTTCAGGTACCAAAAAACCATAACTCGCTAAAATGGCAAAATTAAAAAAAGTAAACCCGAGAGGAAAGGTTGGAGAAAAAACGCCAAGCAGAAAGAAAGACTACGCGAACAGCGAACTAAAAATGATCCAATCAAGAATGCTGAGTTAAAAGAAAAAGAAAAAAGAGAAGTATAACAGAAAGAAGGAGAAAGTACAAGTTATAAGTATAAAAGATCTGACAGGTAGGGAACAGCGAGCTATGAGAAAGATATGGAGAGCGAAAACTGAAAGATATAGGGATCGTGTGAGGCAAAAAACTATTACCGCCGCCTTTGGACCATGAAGATCCACACTTCGATCCTCAAATATTGGACAATAGAGCTTCAGGTGCCAAAAGACCCTCGGAAAAACAGAGGAAACGGAGAAATGAGCTTATCAAAAAACAAAAAAACGAAATTGATCGATAAAAAAAAGGTGAAGAGATTTCAAAGGAAACTAGTCTAAACTAGTCTAAAAATGTCACCAAAATCGAAAGTGGACCGATTACTAAAAAAAAAAACGAAACCAAGTAAGCAGGAGCACGTGGAAGAAGTTAAAAAGCATCTGTGATTCAGTGAGGTAGTTCAAAATCAACTAAAAGAAAATATAAGGCATACCAAAAAGAAAAATGAGAAGACAATGTTTCATAAAGTATTGAGTGGTAGGTTTGTTAGAAAGTACAATGTTTTAAGCCAAATTGATATGAAGCCTATGAAACGATTACCCACTGAGGGAAGAAGTTTGCTAGACGTGACAAGGACAACAAGAATGAATGAAACTAGAGAGAAGATAAAGAACGTAATTAAAAAGTGTTTTGAAGGAGACTGCAACAGTCGCTTATGCGCAGAAAAAAATGACTACATTACGAAAAACAAAGTAAAAAAAACAAAAGAGGGCTTTACTAGACTCAATGAAGCATTTACACGCACGGTTCGTTAAAACCAAATGAGTGCCGATAAGTTATACTTCATTTTGTCGTTTGAGACCTTTTTTGATTGTATATCCAAACGTTCATAGAAGAGAAACATGCTTGTGTGTAACTCATGCAAATATGGAGTTGATTTTGCTCTCTTTTAGAAGAACGAAAATTATAGACTTTATGAGTTTTCAAGTTTATACCTATGTTAATTTTATTTTTATGCTAGCTACCGTTTTTTATTTATAAGCACTGATTGCGATTCAAAGATTGACCATAAGTATTATGTCAATTTTTTGTTTTAATTTTTTATAATGAATGGTTTATGTAACAGTTCCTGTGTTCAGAAGACTGCCATTTTTTGAGAAGTAACCAAGTTTAGTTTTATTTGTATTATTAATATTATTATTATTACTCAAGTACCTACATTGCCATCTATATTAGTTTGCAAGATATAAACAGTTATAGTGGTTATTATTTATACTAGTTCTTGTGTGAGCAGAGTTCGCTCAGTTGATCTAAATGTTATTTTTTAAGAGACTAATGTAACACATTGTAGGATTTTGTTATTTCCAATAAAAAAACTATTGACCTTATTTACCTATTGGTGTTTATATACTTTTATAAAGGGTCCTTTAAGATCATTCACATGAGAAGTTGTCACTCTTCTGTCTCAGTTTGTCACTACCCTGTGTATAGTGTCACTCCCCTGACTACACATTTTCCCCTGGTAGCTGTAAAATCTTTAAAAATCAAAAAACTATCTGGTCCTGTCAAAGATGCATCACAAATAGTATAATCTTAAGAGGTAATGAATATGAAACTGAAATAAGTAATTTTTCTTAGGTACCACTAAAAACCCAAATACCTGATATTCACCCATATACTAAGTGACATATAAATCCGAACACCCAGTTTAAATGGTTTTATTTTAATAAAAGTTGGTGAATGTATTTATCTTACTGTAAATAACAAGTGAAAAAATTTTCAGCTTTTTTTAATTCACTAACGCTCTAAAAATGAATATTTCAGCCGCAGTAAAGAATCAACGTTGGCGGATTTTGGTTCTTGACATCCTTTACGATCGGTTACGATGCCTAGAGTACGGAGACCTGTACGATTTCGTCAACTTAGTGAGTTTGATAGGGGCCGTATAGTGGGACTTCGGGAAGCTGGACTTTCTTTTCGGGCAATTGCAGTTAGAGTGCAAACAAGTGAAGACACTGTGGTTAGGTGTTGTCAGGCATGGCTTCGAGAAGGCCGTACGCAAAGAGCAAGGGGCACTGGACGCCGCCGTAGAACAACAGACCGTGAAGATCGCCGCCTAAGATTATTGGCCTTAAGGGACCGTTTCTCCACTACCAGGTCCATTGCAAATGAATGGTTTGCATAACACGGAAGACATATTGACATGCGAAGTGTTTACCGACGAATGAGAAGTTTTGGCTTGTTTTCATACCGGCCACACTGGGTTCTCCCTTTAACTCGTGAACACCGACGTAATCGCCTTGTTGGTGCAGACAACGGTCACTCTGGGATCAGGAATGGAACAGTATTGTCTTTAGTGACGAGTCTCGATTTTGTTTAGGCATGCACGATGGTCGTGCCAGGGTTAGAAGGCGACGTGGTGAAAGGATGAATCCACAGTTTTTTGTTGAAAGACATGTTCATCACACTGTTGGAGTTATGGTTTGGGGTGCTATAGCTTATGGTTCCAGGTCACCTTTAATCTTCATCAGAGGTAACATGAACGCGCAGCGTTATATCCACGAAGTTCTAGAACCCTATCTTGACACCCTGGCAGATCCAAATTTCCAACAAGATAATGCCCGACCACATGTTGCAAGAGTCACAATAGACTTCTTTCAACATAATGATGTCACATTGTTACCATGGCCACCAAGATCTCCCGACTTATCCCCAATTGAGCACGAGTGGGATATGATGGGTAGGAGATTGCTCAATTTGCAACGTCCTCCTCAGACTCTAGAAGCACTTCGAGAGGAGTTGGTGGTTGCCTGGAATGAGATACCACAGGAGGACATTGACCACCTGATCAGAAGCATGCCTAGGCGCGTTGGAGAATGCGTAGCACATCAGGGTGCATCCACACATTATTAAAGGTCAAAGGGCTTTAAAGCAGTGCAATCATTTTGAAATTTTTATCATTTACTTATTATGCTTCATTAAGTACTTATACAAAATTTTATTAGAATAAAACCATTTAAACTGGGTGTTCGGATTTATATGTCACTTAGTATAACTGCAAATACTGTCATTATTTTAGGGCTTCTGAATATTTCTCGACAGTATTAAACGTGCTTAGCTCTAACAATACTACGAACTGTCGCCTTTTGAATCAGAAAAATTTTCTGTAACTGAGAATGTGAATGTCAATAGAGAGTTAAACATACCATTGTATCCTGTTCGGGCAGAATCCGGATCGATAATACCTATATGCAATTCTGCATATTGCATATACTACCCTAGCCAGCTTAGTACAAATTTGATCAATATGGAATGTCCAAGTCATATGGAAGTTAAACTGTACAGACTATAGTTTTTTGATTGTTTAAATATAATTCATTTGATGAAAACCATTTTTCAGAGTGACTCAGAATAGTCCCAATAATATTTTCTTTTCCAAACATTCTATTTTTACTTAAAGAAAAACTGAAAGTTGTATAATCAGCATACATCGTTGTTATTATGCTATTATTGATGGATTTTATGTTCAGGCAAATTATATTATTAATGTACATGATGAACAGAAATGGCCCAAGTATGGAACCTTGTGGTACTCCTCTGCATACAACCAATTCATTACTCACTTTCCCATTACAGTAAACTCTCTGTTTTCTATTTACTAAATAAGATCTTATTAACTCATTCGCAATCCCTCTAATACCATAATTGAAAAGTTTTTCTAGGAGAATGGGGTGGCTTATATAATCGAAAGCTTTTGATAAATCTGCAAATACCCCAACATCTATACATTCATCCTCTAATGTTCTCTGTATGTTCTCTACAAGGCTCACTATAGCATCAGATGCTCCTCTGCCTGAACAAAAACCAAACTGACTATGTATCGATAGTACTTTGGTGTATTTACAAAAATCGAGGAAATAGCCTTCAGATAAGCAAGCAGCGATTAGGGCTGTCATTGGTTTAACTATGAACTGCGCACATTCAATCACTAATGCTGTGCTCATTTGATAAATATCGAGAGTCTTTTTATTCTTAAGCTTCCCAATATAAGACATAACATCATTTTCTGTAGCAGCTTGGAGAAACATGCTGTTAGATTTGCTATTGATTTCAATGTATTTGGTAGTATTTGCAATTATTTATGATTTCTTGCGCATGATGCACAAAATAGTGATTGAATGCCTCAACATCAACGTAAAACACCTCCTTAACGTTATGAGAGTCTCTGCCACATTAATGTTTTGTTGTGATCTTTTTTTAATTTAAGCAATTCACTAGCATATCTTTTTTTGATGTTGTCATATAAGATTTTGTTTATCTAGAAGGATTGTTTTTAAGTTTGCTGTGACATAAGAGTAGACTATTTCTCAAGTTATCCAATTCAGGTATTGTTATTTTCCTATATTTTGGAAGTAAGCTTTTGTATGTGACGAGGGGAAATGAATTATTGAAATGGTATTATTCGAACGTATCAAAAAATGTTCTAGATCTGTCTTGGGCACTGTATGAACAATGCTGATCATACCAAGATTCAGTCGACAATGAAATTTTAAATAGACTTCGGTTATTCACATGAAATTTTCTAGATGTAACATTCTGTTTGGGGATTGTGATCCGACATACCCACCTCAAAGACAGCTGTTTTGTAGGGAAAATTACAGAAAATATTGGACATGTCCGAATGTTACCTGGTTGTCTAGTACACTCAAATATTGTTTGACTCAGATGGAACTGCGATAATAAATTTATTATGCTTTTTGTTCGATTATCATCGTTCAGAAAATTTAGGTTAAAATCTCCACAGATAATAACGTTGGCACTGGGATAACGCATCTGTATTAAATGTAAAGCCTCTTGGAGTACATCAGAAAAAATATCAAATATGGATTCTTTACAAGGTAATTAATCTATATAGGTCGGCATATACAATATTTACCTTTTTCACGAATACAGCTGTTAGTTCTCAATGCAGTTCTCGGGATAAATGCTTAATTTCGGAAAGTTCAGTGGCATCCAATGATTGATGTACATATATACTTGCACCTCCCTGAGAATGCTCCGATCTGCAGTAACAGCTTTTCAAAAGAAAGTTTGACACTATCTGCAGTACTAATACTGTAGTCTAATTCCAAAATTTTATTCCTAATGCACTGCACGTTAAAATTCACAATTCCAATTGTTTCCTCTTGATAATCAGTACTGAATATTCTATGTGAAACGTGCCTAGTTGTTTCGAAAAAAGTTGTATTTTTTGATGAGGCAACCAACTGGCCAATTGTCTTGATGTTGAAATGTTGTTAATAATCACAATTACATATACCTGTAATTACTGAGTTGTAAATGTTAATTATGATGAACCAAATTTCGTGTATGTGCTCATTAAGAGTGCATATCATTTGTTTTGATACGTGATACTTTTCCATTCCACGTTTTTTGGATCGATAAATAAAACTACAGATGATGGAGAAAGGCTTGGCTGACGTTTCGTCTTTCAGTGCACTAATACTTCATGAAGCCTTTCTTCAACATATGTGGTTTTATTTGCCAGCCAGGAAAAAATGAATCACCAAAACGACCACAGGATGCGTTTCAGGAGTTACAAGATCTTAACAGTATTATAGCTTTCGGTCGTCCGACCACAGATGGCCAACCATGAACATCTGTGTCGTGCTACTTGGCAACTCCTCAGCATTGTGTAGGCTTGGTTTCAGGTAACGAACGAAAGCTGTGTCACTACCCTCTTTCCAGAGTATAAGGTCCATCGAAATCAAACAGCACAAATTGCCATCTGCTACCAGAATCGACCACTGCTAAAGTGAAAGCAGCAAGCAATCTGTTGGAACTGTATCCCAGTTCGCATCGTCAGCCGGCAGGGTTATTACGTAAAAAAACTATATAACGTCAGAATAAAGTCAAAGTGTCAACTTGCTGCCTAAATAGTTCCTAGTGTGCGAATAGTTCATCTCGCGTTTGCTCCCTATGAACGCTGTGAGCGTCACCAAAAGCGTCATTTATAGAGCAATGACTCAACGTCACGACACGCTCAATGACCATGCTGCAATCTGCAAGCCAGTACCTCAGCATGCTTTTTTGTTGGTTGCAGAATGTCGAGATAGTCTGTAGAGTATATCATTGAGAAAATTGTTTGAATAGCAAGGTCGCATCTGGATGATTGTATGGTTTTGTGTATTGGTCAGCATGTGAATAAAATCAGTGATATTTGCTGGTGAAAAAATTATTACTGAATATGGGTTACCTGTGTTGGTCTTTTCTGGAGAGAGGTTATATTCAAAGTTATAAATTACAATTTTTCCCTTTTTTTGCGTTTTCAAAACATTTGAGAAGCATTACGGGAAATCACCCCCGTGCGCGCTTTGTGTGTAATTAAGCCACATCACAGACAAATTATTAATGACGCATAACAAACACAACATTTTCGCAGTGCCTCACATCCAGGCGCTGATGTTTATTTTCTACTTGACATCACAAAATACATTTATATGAAATTTAAATGACTGGAATTAAAAAACAATGTAAAATGTAATAACCTGTTCACGTTTCTTAAATATTCCTATCTATAGCCTATTTTTCCGCCTGTTAGTATTATATTATACTGCAAAAAGCAGGAATTTTCTCTTTTATCTTATTTTTAAAATTCAGCAAATTTGAATATGTAGTTGCCAGGATGAAGCACACATCTCAAGTAAGTGCATTTAAGACAAGAAACTAAGGGAATTATCATCAACACAGATTATTATCACACAAATCCTCACTATGCACATATGCCCTGCCGTTTCCTTCCTGCTATAGGATACAACTTGAAGCATGGACCTCCAATAATGTCATCTCTGAAGCAGATATTACATCACATCAGAGCCAAACATTGATAGCTGAAGTGTCATGATGTTTAGGCAACACATACAGCTACAAAACGAGTGGACAACAAATAGTTCTGAGAGGCTCTTGTAGAAATACCTACATAATATCACAAAAAACCTATAAAATGTCAAAAAAAAAATGTACAATGTCACTTTCCAAGATACGTGATACCTATATAATGTCAAAAAAGAAACTGACATAACGTCACTTTCCAAGATACGTAATACCAGTGTGGGTGTCCACTGTGACTGCTACCGATTCTGGTGAGTATCTAAAGCCAGTAGATACTCAAAATTAAACAAACTAGTAATATAGCTTTCATACTGTCTTATTTTGATAGACCTTATACCCTGGGTAGAGGATAGTTGCTCAGCTTTCATTCGCTGTCCTACCTGAGACCAAGCCTACACCATGCGCTGAAGAGTTGCCAAATAGCAAATAGTCGGATGGACGAAAGCTATAGGTCTGCTCAATGGCGAGTAGACCGAATCCATTAAAGCACCAGAATCGGCGGCATCTAGCGGCCACAGTGGTGACCCGGCTGATAAATGCGAACCGGGATACAGTTCCAACAGACAGCTTACTGTTTTCACTTCTGCAGTAGCTGATTCTGGTAACAGGTGGCACTTTGTGCAGACTTATTTCGATATTACATGATCTTTTTTATGATCATATTGAGATACGAATATTTGGTTGCTTTAAACAACATTAGGAGTTTGAGAGGATCTTCATAATGATCATGAAACTTGAAGGTGATATAAACTCGCATGGTTCCTTATTATTGACTCAAATATTTTTACAGGATGAAGGTGATGAGGATAATAGTGATATAACAGGTAAATATGTTTAAAATATACTGTTTTTTTTTTACCAACCCAGTGATGACTGTGCACATTACATTCCATTAACAGAGTAACCAACTGCCCCATTCCATAATGTTTATTTCTATTTATCCTTAGGTGGTTGGGTCCACCCAGGAGAATACGCGTCATCAGGTAAACATTCAATATTTTAAACATGAGGTTCTGTTTCTGTTGTTTATATTAGTCATTTGATTGCCATATTCTCACTACTAATCAAGAGCGGTATAATTTGTATTTAGGCTTGGAAGTAATTTTCTGCATATTACTCAAGATAGATCGATGGCATCGATCATGTGGTTTGTAACAAAAGCATACTAAACTTTGGCGGCTTTTTTGTTTATGTCTGAACCCAAAACGTTTATTTGCAGCTAAACTAGATGAAGCTTAACGTCGGCCGACATTTTACTCAATACTTTTAAATACAAGTTGATTCGAGAAACAATGACAATATTTCTAGAGCAGGAAGTACATCAAAAAAAATAGCAAAATAAAGTTCCTATAAGCATATGTCTTAACATGATTAATTTCCAAGAAACATTAAATTTCTACACCTCTGATGACACTCACTAAGAAGAAATCAGGGACAATGTTCAAAAAACACTATGGCGAGATAGGCGTACTCTCTTATTGTACTACATACAAATTCCAATGCCAAACTTCACTACAGCATATTTTCAATTTAGAACAGGTTGACACTTTTTATTCGGATTTTATTTCAAATATACAAACTATTTTTTCTCCTATGCAGTAGGCTGACAAAGATGCCTAAAGAGAGTTTCATTTAAAATTGGATACGTTACTCAGAAATGCGATAGGTGTTCCAAAAACGTCGGTGGCGTAGAAAATAATTTTCTTTTTTCTTCTGTAATGATCAAAATTTCCTAATTGTATCATGTTTTCTGTATTTGGGCTATGCTGTTGAGTACCACTTGTACAAATTTGAAAAGTAAATAGTTTAATCCACTCCAAATATTGTTTTCAATTTCAAAATTCTAACTTCACATCCTGCATACGGTAAGGGGGAATTTTAGGACCCATGTTTATATGAACTTACTTACTTTTTGATCTTCTGTTTACCCTAAAAATAGTGCTACTTGTTTCCGAATCACCCTGTATATTACTTTTGGCAATCACAAATATGTAAGCTTAAACATTATTGCGACATTTAAGACATCGGTTAACGTGTGAAAAATGTCAGAAGAGATTGACGTTTACGTTGATGTATGTATGTATGTATTTGTGATTGCCAAAACTCTCTATTATGTAGCAGAAAGTCAACGATATGTATCAAAAACTCGAACTATTTTTGTTAACATGCCCTACCGCCTTCTAGGAACATCCACCTCTAGTACGAGTAGCGCGCAGCAAATTAAGGAATCTTTCCTTCAGAACGTCTAGAGAAAATACGTTCTATTGTTAGACTTTATTTCCACTTTTCAATAAAATGCATTATATAGAATAAACTTGATTCACCAACACACTTATGTAAGAGAAAAATTGTACAATTTTTAGTCAAATTTAATGAAATGTTGGTTTACAATTCACGGCTGTCGACTGTCAGCGATGTTAGTATAAAACTTACAAATTCTTGATGAAAAACCATTATAACTGGATATTTTTAAGTCCAGTTTACTCTGTGATTTCATCCGTGTCAGTCATAAATGTTGTCATTATATCTTGTCATAGGCTGCTGGCTTTGTGTGAATGTAAATTGTATATGTATATTTGGCATGTAACTCAGCATCATGTTAAAGTGTGGTCATTTTAGCTGCTTCATACTAACACGTGTTTTTGTTCCATTTGCTTTCTGCCACATCAGTGAACGACAATTTTTATGGTAAGTTTTTCTCAATGCTATCTGATACTATTGTTATGGGCTCTATAGTAACTAAGCTTATTGTCAAGCTATTGAAAAATCTATTGTCGAATATTTTTCTATTTATTGTCTTGCCTATTAATTTTTTTAAACATTACACATCTCAAGCTTTAAAAGCTTCTTATTTACAATCGCCGCCATCACGTCAAATTTCACGTAACCATAACAAAAAACCAATATGAACCTAATGTAGAATGTCTGTCACAAAAATAGAATAACGCCTTATAAAGTTCATATTTCAGTAACTTCTGTAGCATATTGGAAATGAAAATTATATTGGTAGAATTTTAGCTTATTGGTGAATAAGTTCGTGTACAGCTTTCTAACACTGATAAATGAGGTATCGACACCTATAGTAGAACTTGGAACTGACAGTTATGCCCTACTCTCCCATATAATTATTGATTTGAGAATAATGACGTTTTAAAATTTCTTATCGCCAACCATAAATGGTGTAGCTTCTTTGCTTTTTGTTCATTCCTTGCTAGCGCACTTGGTTGTTCAATTACTATGCTTATACAAATATCCTTTTTCAATAGGAATGGGGAAAGAAGTGGAAAACCTGATCATGGAGAATAATGAACTCTTAGCAACAAAGTGAGTACTGATTTTATTTAATTACAAAAAATATATATTTTTTTTAAAATTAATGATATAATCTAAATCAAATGCACAGTTAAAATAATGTTATTTAATTGGATGAAAAATCGTACAATGCGTTTTAGCCAGCCTGGAAAATCAGCCTTTTCATTTTGGAAACTTGAATCTGTGAGGAACGTCTTGTATTTTGTCAAGAAGAGATTGAAGCAGAAGTATGATATACTTGGTCACATCTACGTATATACGACGTTCAAAGGGTTTTTCAAATTTCTCACTCAGATGTTTCTCATTTTCTTTGTAATAACAAAGCTTTTCAGATAACACTGGTGAACAGAATTAGAATAATTTTTTGTGCCATGAACAAAACAAGGTGGTTACTATGTAAAATGTACCCAAAAAGCCAGAAATAGCATTCGATTTTTTCTATCACCCTCGGTTTTCTTGCAATAAGGCATTTTATTTGCTGCTTATACTCGTAAAATATAAGGATATGTGTGTAAGAGTACTAATAAGCACTCGAATAAACATTAATCTCAGAATGTTGTTGTCGATGTTTTACGGCGATATGTTGCTCCTGAGGTATCTCTTAACAATGTCCAGCAATAATCAGCAAGCAAATTGACACTCTATTTGCCGTGATACCGTTTTTCCATAGCAGAAATGTCTTGGTGGAACCGTTCACCATGTTCATCACTTACCGCACCTAAATTTTCCGGTTAAAGAAAATCGAAATGAGAATCCATAAAGTAAATTTTTAGAGACATGTTAAATCCCATTCCTTTATAAGCATTAATTACTTCACTCAGAATATCTTTATAATTCTCCGCCTTCACATTGCCTAAAAAATTTGCAGTAACTGATTTAAAAGCATTCCAAGCTCGTAATTCAGTTTCATTTAGAGCACTGTCAAATACATCATCCTTCATGATTTTCCGTGTTTGTGGACCCACAAATATGCCCTCTTTAATTTTTGCCTCACTAAGTCTCGGAAATGTTTGTTTTAAATGCAGAAACCTCTTCAGTTTCATAGCTTTCACAAAATTTTTCATTAGTCCCAACTTAAGATGCAATGGTGGAAGCAACACGTTTTTGGGATCAACTAGTGGTTCATGAGCAATGTTTTTGAGGCTCGGAGTTAATACCTGACGTAGTGACCAGTCCTTCTCGCGCACGACTGTCCGATTCGCAAAGAAAACAACAATATTTGGTATGTCCCAGTTGCATTCCAAGAAGAAGGGCTATTACTTTAAATCTGCACGTATGGCCCAACCATATTCATTATAACGGATATGCTCTAACAGAACTCGCATATTTTCATATGATTCCTTCATATGAACTGCGTGCGCTATGGGTACTGATGGATATTTATTACCGTTGTGTACCAATACCGCTTTTAAACTAAGCTTGGATGAATCAATGAACAGGCGTCAATCATTTGGATCATGTTTATGTCCTAACGCATCAAACAAATTATTGGCATCGGAAAAATATATCAACGGAAATATTGACGGAAACAGTGTGTGAGGTCTTGTTGCCGTTTTTGGTAAAAAGTAATGTTAATATCACCGTGGAGAAGATTCCACCATCCTTTTAATCTTGACGCTAAAAGTTCTGACTGTAAATGAAAATACTTAACAGTATGTTTCGATTTTGGTCCAATACCTTTAATATTTGTGAGGCAAAAATAGCAATCAGTAGTATGGTCTCTCGATTCTCTCCAAACCATTGGTACCTCAAAGGGCATTTTATGATTTTCGCCTCTTAAGTAACCTGTTAACAACGTTACACAAGTCTTACAACATATATGAGGGGCCCATAGTTTATCTTGGTCGCCAACTTTAATTCCAAAATTTAGTTCGTGTGCTTTCAACACAAGGGGAATATAAGTACGTTTTTGGGATTTAAAAGTTAGCTCTCCGCGCACATAACAAAAACTGTTTGCACTATTTACACAATTTCTAGGCATTGCCCATAAAGCTAGTCTCGATCACAATAAACTAAAAACAACACACCGTTTTAACAAAAATTAACAGTACTCAAAACATCTCAGTACTCTTCAACACAGAAAACGTAACTGACTCGGCTTCTATTAGTCTACTAATGAACGCAATATGCTCTCTAAACATAGCTCGCATATAATAAACAGGAATAGACAGGTCTTAACATTATATATGTGCATCATCGCATAAACGCCGAGAAATGCAGCAATATGAGATGTTACGTATTGTAATTCATAAAAGTAGATGTTACCGAATATCTGTGGGTGATAGAAAAATTCTATTTTTAGATTTGATTTAAGGGTCTCAAAATACATAAGATACACCCAAAATTGTCATGTCACAAATCCTGTTTATCAGTGTAATATGTTTAGTATTTTTTTTGGGCAGTTGGTAGCCGGAAACAAGATACATAGCTTTTGAACAGCGTATATAGTGCTTTTGTAGTCCAGGCTGTTGTTTTATACTTTGTTACTGCTTTATATAAGTATTTTAATACAAATTCGAAAGTAGAGCTGTTAAGGATATTTTTCGAAATAGGCCCTACGTGATAATGGTCGCAGTAGTCAGAACTGTACGTTCGGTATCCTATTGCTGCGATGATTAAGTGTGTCCATAACGCTTCATTCTGATGATTGTGACCAATGTTGTGAGCACAAGGATACCTGTTCTATTGAACATCTAAACCATTACTAGTTAGTTTTTGTCTATGAGATATTAACGTTTGTAATAGCAAAAGCGCTCGAAACAAATGTGGCCACAACGCGTTCTGCAACAGATTCAAGCTTGTCGAGAAATTATTTTCAAAAATGCTTACAACGTCATCTAGCAAGGATTGTAAGCCACAGTGCAGTTTAGTCGTTTATTGAAGAAATATATTTTAATACCAAAACGCACAATCAAATTCGTAACTTGTAGCATAAGATTTATAAATGTATCGCCATTATAAGTAATAATAACGTTTATTTCCTAAAATACTATACGTTAGTAAACAAATACAAATGTAGGATAAATGGTAAATAAATAAGAGAGAGTTCAAACTTGTACTGGAGGCGAATCACGTTTCCCTTTCTCCCCTCCAAGCCCGGCGCCTCCCGTGTTGCCAGATCGAACGCTATGTTGCCACACTCATCACTCAAGTTACACACCTCCCATGAGACAAAAATACTGTAAGAATCGTTTTAACTGAAATAGATGTGCATTGACAAATTTTATGTAATTTTAGTAATAAAGTTTCCTCAAAGTCGAACATTAGTATATAACAACAACAACAATATATAACAAGGTATAACCTAAGATGTATGAACTAGAGTTATGACAAATGAATTAAAAGTATGAAGACTATAAAGGAATAGCACCCATATTGTACCCTTGTTCTAGTAAACAATTTCTACTAAATTGCTTTCTTATCTCTTTTCTACCAATTAGATAAACATATTTTTTTATCCTACACACGACGTGTTTATAAATATTAACTTACATGCAATCTGCTCGTATGTGAGGCAAACAATTATAATGGTGGCATTGTTTACCTGTGTTAGATAAATCCTACTTAAACAGTCAATCTGGAAGTCTGAATTAATTTAGATCTTTTTTCATTTGTGAAATTTTTCAGTTTGTATCCAAAGCAGTCGCTCACTATGTTTAGTATTTAATTGATATGTGAAGATTATTATGAATATGGGAATAATAGCTATCACTGATGTATTACTACAAAACAAACAAGTCAATTTACTGTGATTATACGCGATATTTTGTAGAATCGTATTTCTATGTCGCTATAATTTGATTGTTACCATCTACAGTTTCTGATATTATAATTTGCAATAACTTTAACATGTTTTGTAATTTTTGGCGTAACCGTATCTATGTTCGTGTTGGTTTGTGGGAAAAATGATAAAATAACACATTATTATACATTAAAAAAATTAATATTGTAATTTCTGTTCAAGTTTGAGTAGGTCGCAACCGAACTAATGAGGACCTAGCCTTTACATAGTAAGTCGAGATATCATGGTACAAATGGTGGAGCATTAGCCACTGTTTGGAATTAAAACATTTTTTCAATTTCCTACATGCATATTTGTAAAATTGTCAACATATCAATAAACGATCAGGACGCGTTGTGGCATTAGTAATTTGCTAGAAGTCGTTGAAAATTGAACAATTTCAATAAAATGACTGAAAAATCTAAACTTCTCTATAACTAGGAACGCTCTGAACGTAGTGAAAGACGATCTGATAGTGAAAGTAGACGAGCTGACAGGCGAAATCGACATGCTTCGTGAGGAGATCCTCTCGTTGAACCTGTCCAGGACGAAGTTGAGGGAACGAGTTTCTGAAGTAGAAGAGGAGTTGAAGAAGGTGAAAGAGGCCAATGAGGCAAGACAAGAGGCTGACGAGGAATCGGACGTGCCACTGGCGCAGAGGAAGAGATTCACTAGGGTAGAAATGGCAAGAGTTCTCATGGAGAGAAATCAATATAAGGTTAGTGATAGATGCTTCTACAAGACTGAACCGACAGATGTTAAATGATAGCCGAGCTCTTGGTCAAATTTTCTACGCTTTGTTTCTAAATCCAAAGCAATTTGTTGAGGTAGTACGCTGACACTGACTCATGCTCTGAAAGAATCTTAACTAGTTCATCCAAAAATTATGATCATTTGACACCTGTAAATGAAACTCTCTGGTTTTGTTCAGATTTGCTACAGACTATTACATTCACCTACGAGTCTAATTAGACATTGACATTTTAAATCGAATGAAAAAGTAAGTTGAAGGAATGTCATTTTTCGAATGTGGGAATATGGGAAAATTTACTGATTTTCTGTTTTTCTCCAGAAGGTCGAAAAAGTTGGTACAAACAAAAAGCACTCAAGGACTTAGAATAATTATAAAACTGGTCTGTAATATTCTGCTCTTGGGTGGCATCAAATAATGAGCTAAAGATGGTTACAATGCTTTGAGCAAACAGGGAGGTAGAGCAAGGCTAGATTTCGTGAATCATTGCCGTTTACATGAGATGCCCATTATTCATAGTATACGTATTTATAATCGAACAAAATATCCCGTAGCTCAGTATGTAGCGATCCAAAAATGTGACTTACTGAAAACACAGGGTATTCACCGTGTATCCATATTTTCCAAATAAGGAGCATATGCAACTCGTGAAAAAATTTTGGTAAAACCGCCATTTAGCTTTTATAAAAAATAATATACCTAGTCTCACTGGCAGTGCCAGACAAATCTCATATGTCAAAATCCATCAAGCTGTTTAATCTGAAGCCCGTGAAAAAGGAATTTCAAGATTATTATTTTTTATTAAAATCAACTATACTAAGTGACATATAAATCCGAACACCCAATTTAAATGGTTTTAATTTAATAAAATTTTGTATAAGTACTTAATGAAGCATAATAAGTAAATGATAAAAATTTCAAAATGATTGCACTGCTTTAAAGCCCTTTGACCTTTAATAATGTGTGGATGCACCCTGATGTGCTACGCATTCTCCAACGCGCCTAGGCATGCTTCTGATCAGGTGGTCAATGTCCTCCTGTGGTATCTCATTCCAGGCAACCACCAACTCCTCTCGAAGTGCTTCTAGAGTCTGAGGAGGACGTTGCAAGTTGAGCAATCTCCTACCCATCATATCCCACACGTGCTCAATTGGGGATAAGTCGGGAGATCTTGGTGGCCATGGTAACAATGTGACATCATTATGTTGAAAGAAGTCTATTGTGACTCTTGCAACATGTGGTCGGGCATTATCTTGTTGGAAAGTTGGATCTGCCAGGGTGTCAAGATAGGGTAAAAGATGGGGTTCGAGAACCTCGTGGATATAACGCTGCGCGTTCATGTTACCTCTGATGAAGATTAAAGGTGACCTGGAACCATAAGCTATAGCACCCCAAACCATAACTCCAACAGTGTGATGAACATGTCTTTCAACAAAAAACTGTGGATTCCTCCTTTCGCCACGATCCCAGAGTGACCGTTGTCTGCACCACTCAAGGCGATTACGTCGGTGTTCTCGAGTTAAAGGGAGGACCCAGTGTGGCCGGTATGAAAACAAGCCAAAACTTCTCATTCGTCGGTAAACACTTCGCACGCCAATAGGTCTTCCGTGTTCTGCAAACCATTCATTTGCAATGGACCTGGTAGTGGAGAAACGGTCCCTTAAGGCCAATAATCTTAGGCGGCGATCTTCACGGTCTGTTGTTCTACGGCGGCGTCCAGTGCCCCTTGCTCTTTGCGTACGGCCTTCTCGAAGCCATGCCTGACAACACCTAACCACAGTGTCTTCTTTGCACTCTAACTGCAATTGCCCGAACAGAAAGTCCAGCTTCCCGAAGTCCCACTATACGGCCCCTATCAAACTCACTAAGTTGACGAAATCGTACAGGTCTCCGTACTCTAGGCATCGTAACCGATCGTAAAGGATGTCAAGAACCAAAATCCGCCAACGTTGATTCTTTACGGCTTCTGAAATATTGATTTTTAGAGCGTTAGTGAATTAAAAAAAAAGCAGTATAAAAACCGGAGTGTCCAACTGATAAGGCTGAACATTTTTTCACTTGTTATTTACAGTAAGATAAATACATTCACCAACTTTTATTAAAATAAAACCATTTAAACTGGGTGTTCGGATTTATATGTCACTTAGTATATGTTGACTAATGAGCCTAAAACAAATTTTCACAAGAACAAGTCCACGAATCACAACTTAAGAATTATAAACAAGTCAGTGATTAGGTGAAAGAATACAATGATACAAAATTTCAGTGGCGTATCTAGAACTTTTGTGTTGGGCTGGGGCCTATTGGTATTTAATATATGTTACACAATATGTTTCCCACATCATATTGTTCGTACTCCAAATAATTCCTGGACTTGTATAGTCACGTGAAGTTCAAAGTAAGATGGTGATGGTGAAGTCAATTTGAATTTTATTACCCTTGATCGCTTTTTGTATATTTGATATCTTTGGTGGGTTTTGTGAAAGGATAATATGACTTTATTTCGTGCGTTGAATACTAGAGCATAGGTATATTCCTCGAATTTTTTTCTCTATAGGAAACATGATGTGTACATTTTTTAAGTCGCTAACCTTGTCTGCAGGCAAGGCGTCTCTTTGAACTGAGAAAGTCGGAGCGCGAGCATCCTGCCGAATTCAAGGAGATCCTGCGCTTGCAGTGGCGTGCAACGTGTTCCGTTATTTGTCAAGTTGTCACACGTCACTCGTTTTGTGTTCAGGCGCTACTAATAGAAACAAGCCGCTTATGTCTCTAACGTATACGGACATAACGATCAACACTAATGAACAAAAGATGCGGAAGCGAATACATGAATGTAATTTGACAGTTTAACAACTGTTGTCTCTGTGATGAGAGACGAGATGGAAGTTCAAACTAAAATTATTCATCAGAAAGAAAGACATACAAGGACGTCAGGTATTCTTGAGATAAGCACCAAATCTTGATTAACTCTTTGTTGCTTTAATTACCTACCTTTATGAGGAGTAGATAAATTTCAATATTAGTTTGGCGTTTCTGAAAATGATATGTTAACTTATGAAGGTGTCAAAGTCTTTCTAAGCCAAAATGATTTGTGCGCTCCCATACACTCATTTCTGTTGGTATTCTGTCATCGATTATATCCGGCAAAATCAATCGATGTAAGAGATAAGCTTACGCACCATCAACTCACGCCAAACCTGTTCGTCCTTATATATCATTTCTATGCTGAAATTACGATCGCAGTAAAGGATAACGTCGCAAAACTGCGGCCAGGAATATTCAGCTGCCTCTGTATTTGACAATTATTAATTATGATTTCTTTTCAACGAAACCTGATTATTTTCGACAGAGTAGCATGATCCTTCTTTAGCGTCACTGATGAAGGTGCATTTTACAGAAGGCAAACATTTTATTTCTATAAGGCCTTCTGTGCCCACGAGACCATCCGGAGAAGCTGCCAAAAAGAGGATATTTTTGACATACAAAAGTCCGCACCGCTCAACGGATAATCCCATCTGTTCTTCATACCTCCTCCTTGCGGTAGCCTCATGTACCCCGCCATACAGGATAGATGGTGTATTTAAATTTTCTATCCTATAAAGTAGATTCTTCACGAGGTTGTGGCACGGCATGGTAGATCTCCTTTTAATAACAGCACCGGAGTTTGAGGCTTACTCTAGCCTCATGCTCCTCGACAAAGCGTTGGTCTGTTGGCCTCTCGTAGAGGACGTATTTCACCTATATGAACTTACCGAGTCCTGGTAAGAATTCAAAACTAAGTTTTAAACCTTAGATGTAGTGTCTTAATGGCCCATGTGTTGAATGTCAATGCATGCAATTTTTGTACAGAAATTTTATTACTCGATACGTTATATCATGGTCAGCAGCTATGAGTTTTCAATACCTTCCTGAATGCTGGTTGCACAGTTTTAAAACATGAGCTGTATATTAGTAGTAAAATATTGTCGACTAGAAAATGTGGTTAAAGAACCCGTCGATCGAGCGCGATCAGAAACGCGGAGTGCACGAATTTTCGAAAAATCGATGTGGTTTTCCAGTAAGGGGTAAGGGTTTTTTTGCATGTATCTCGTAGAATTATGCTACTCTAGCAGTCCAGAAAGCAGTTTTACGGGTGTGCCTCGGAACATAGTTTTTCAACCCGTAGGGCAATTTACATGGTGTATATATACAAAAAATCTGATTTTCCAAAATCGATTTGGATCCAGGATTTTTTCCGATAAATCGTTGCTATTTATTTTATTCTAATGACCCACCGAGCGGTTTACCCCAATGAAGTCCGGAAGGCAAGTAGTACATATTTTCACGATACAACATATGATATCATTCACTGTACACTGGTCACCTACTGTATTATGTATTGTCAATAAAATAAAGGGAATATTGCAGATGCTCTCTCTAAAAATTTAAATACGACACACAATTCCAACGAGCCGAGGCACGATCAAGTGATCTCGAACAATTTTTACCAGATGAGATTACCTAATAAGGTCGAGTTATGGTAATGCTTGCGGACGTATCATTCATACCTAAGCTGTTATGGTAGGTACCTGCGTCGACTGCCTTTTTCCGAGGAATTCCAATGGTGTTTGATCGAATTCTGATCGAAGTGCGGGTAAGGGACTTCCGGACTTCATTAGGGAAAACCGCCTAGTGGGTCATTCGAATATGATAAATAACCCCGAAAAAACCCTGGACCTTACTCGATTTGGGAAAATTATGATTTATTTTTAATATACAGCGTGTAAAGTACCCTAGGAGCCGAAAAACCGCATTCAAAAAGGTGCTTTGTTACTACTAGAGAAAGTCGTTGAAGAACCTGATAGATCGTGTGTGATCGAAAACGTTAAAAATGCAGCAGGGGGGGTCAAAAGCGGCACGTGAAAGCGGGAACATTTTTTTCTAGCTCGTCAATATATAATTAGGCATCACATAAGGCAGTAAACTCT